GTCTGGCTCTAAAAATTTTATCATGGTCGAAAATTGCTTGTTATATGAAAAATGGAGATTTTTTTTTTTGAAGTGGATGACAATAAATTTTTTCGTGTAACGTTTATATTGAATGACACTTGATCTGCAATGTCCCGCGACTAATAGTGTTGATGAGAAGCAACCAGAACCAAAACATAAAAAGTTCAAATTCATTAGATCAACATACTTCACACCATGAGGACGCAATCAAAAATGAGATTTTATTGATATTATCATTATTTTATATGAATTGTATTACTTTAGCATTTATTAACTTTTACCACACGAGTTTATAGATAAAAAATTTAACAATATGTGACTTTTGTTATGCATCAGGTATATTCTTATCATAAAAGGTATTAATTAGTATAGTAAAAATGTCCAATTGATTAGATTTATATTATAAATTATATTTATACAATAAAAGATAAACAAATATATTGGTGGTCGAATTTACTTTTACATAATGATCATGTGACCATATTAATATCCGAAAATAAAGCTCCGTTAATCAATGTTACATACCTCTTCATAATCGAATACCTCCTTCACATCTTGTGTCTTCTTATTTATGACAGCTATATGGTCCTCATGAATAATGTGATCATATTTATCTGGTTTTGAAATTGTAAATATTGTGTAGGATTGTCAGTAAATTTACCTAGAGTTTTTCGTCTGTTATTTTTAGATTTGCGAGACATATTAATATCTTATGTATAATGACGTATTATATCAAAGTATTGAGACACATTCAATTTTTTTTTCTTGCAAAAGTGATCAGCGTGAAGAATCTTCACGCGCACGTGATTTTGATGAAAATAAAGCATGGACATCCACATAATTCTGATCGAGACAAATGGTTACATAGAACCTTACTTTATTGATATATAAAAATGTTACCGAAATAACAACATAAAAAAAAAATCATATCGTAATTACATACTGCAGACGTAAATAAAAAAATAATTATAATTATTCCTTTGGTTTTATGAGAAGGTTAACTTGATTAGGCTGGTAACTGGAGTAGCATTGAAATATTCAGAAACCTCAGCTGTCGACTCCATAGGAATAATTGCGTAGAGATTGAAATTAATAGAAAGCTCTTGGTGACCTTGATTTACCAACAGACCTTCAATTGCTTTTTTAAGTGTGGCAACCTTATCTTCCTTACATATTTCAATATTAAAATATTCACCATCTGGAAAACGACAATTGAGACTAATAGGATTGGTCATTTTGCGTTTCCTAATATAAAGTTCTGTAATAAGTAAAAATTCATTTACAATGGATAGAGCTCTTATTGCAAATAACACATAATGGACACCAGCAAACCAAACACGTTACCTTATAAAAATTGCGAAAAGATAAGAAATGATGCCTCACAAATCCAGTTTATTTATATTGTTCCATTCGCTAAATCTGAGAACCTGCTAGAAGAAAAAATAGATGATTAGTAATTACGTTATCCTGACATTTCTCAGATCTTTGCTCCATAAAGCAATTCTATTAGAATCGCCAAGTACTGAATATATGAGTCATATGGCTCTATGCGAAGTATATTTCGTCATCTATGGGGAAAATTAAGCTTTTCAATCTGCCGATCACTCTTGTAAAATGTAAAATAAGCCAAAACTTGACGATCTCGGAGATGGTGGAGATCTCGAGTCCCATAACATATGAATTTTGATATGAGCCAGACTCTACGTAGTATTATTACTGATAAAGAACAATAAACTCTCCTCATTCATATCCTTTTTGAGTCTTATTTGTATTTTTTCTTATTGGTAAAGCTATATACAATAAGGAAAAGGCTTTATTAATTCCATAATTTATAAATATAGTGAGAAAATAATTTAGCAGTATCACAAATTAGTCTTGTGGAACAAATAATTATGTGTCAAGAAACACTAGCTCCGCTATTCCCTGAATTCCACAAAATCGTTATTTTTTTCACCTGGTTCTATCATTATATCGAACAAAAATGAATTGTGATATTCTATACTATAAACTTGTTAAAATCGTATATAAGTCTTATAAACACATAATTGTTAAATATGTCACAAATTAATAATAACCACGTTAACAGACCATATTATGAAACAAATAGAATAGTTGCAATAATGATTAGTGGCGAAATTACTCTTGACTTTATTATAGGGAGTGAGAAACCTTATGACTTTATTAGTATAATCGATCAGGATGAAACGCCAGTTCAGTGGGCCATCTGTGTTAGGCTCGCTCTTCAAGAGATGCTTTCATGGGGAGGACCACGTAGTTTGTATCACCAATATTGTCTCCATGCTTCTCACCCAGAAGGTGGGAATTTCGATAAACATTATTATCAGAGACCTAAACCATATGAAGATGGGACTGCAATATGTTTCCAGTGTATGAAACTTATGCATGTCAAAACAAATTTGGACCCATTTGATAGAACTCAATTCGATTTAATGAAACCACATTATGATTATGAATGTTCTAGACCCCTAACAAAAACGGGATGTGCAAGGATTATTCAACAGGCATTCAGGAACTTTAAGGAAAGAGAGCCATCAAATGCGCGACTTGCTTGGAACAGCTTACCGAATGATAATACTCCAGGTGATAGGAAATTTCTAACATTAATTCCAAATAAAATAAAAAATCCTGTATCTCTATATCAAATTAAAATACGTCTTAATAAAGAATATGACGAGTATATAAAAAAATATAATAGGTACCCTGGTAATGCTGAATTTGAAATTAGTTGGTATCGGGAATATTATATTCCAGATAATAATAATTGGATATATTCTAAAAAGAGTCAATTGCGGTCTAGATTCCAAAAGCGACTTTTAGAAATAGAAGCATAGTACTCAATCAATTATATAATTTAGTCACATAACCTATTTATTTGATGTATTATATATATTCCTATTTAAAATAAAACCACCTAAAGTATTCCTTGAGGCTAGTACTTTAGACTTTATTTCGATACTCCTTGAGGGCTGGTATCTTTTTTTTTGAACCAGATTCCTATGTAAACCTAAAATAGTTACTTTATTAGATTTTGCAACATCTAGGTTTCATGTCATCAAACTAATTTGACTAAGTTCATAGAACATCTACATCGTGCAAATATGGTCAGTTGATGTCTTGTGCGACTATATGCAGGGTTCCCTAAAATTGATTAACCGCACATGATTTAGATTCTTAATCATTATTATTGTATATTCCCATATTAATATATTACTATTACTATTAGTGTCAAAAATATTTATGGATCTCTACAGATTTTTGCAAAGATATGGTCAGGAAATTTATTTTTTAGCATGACTCTAGCACAACTCTAGCACAACTCAAGCATAAGTGTATCATTTTTCATATAGCTATATATATAGAAAAAATTCTAGTGTGACTCTAGCTCAACTCTAGCTCAACTCTAGCATGACTCAACCACATTTAAATCTATATATTTTTTCATACAAACTCATTTCATATGGCACAAAAATCCCCATATTAGAAATAATACATGGACTTGTATTAGCGAAGCTAGCAGGCTAATACCATTGTTTTCAATATTCACTCTAACTTCATACTGGCAGGATCGGTCAGCTCAATAATATGAGTGGCAGATAGAATAATGATTGAATACACGGAGGAGTGCATTTTATCTGAAATATATATCTACCTCAATTTCAACACCGGCTGGATACGTGCATCTCTACAGAGTGGCGAGTAAGATATATACTATATACTATATTCTGTATATAAAAAAATAGCGGGAGAAATATTATTATTTGATTGAACCTAGACATCTTTTTTATATGAAATCGAAGGAAAAAAGTTACAATTGCAGAGGATAAAGATAAGTTATTCAAGCTTAGCGGAGTTAGCTTCACTAAAAAATCTCGATCATAATTTATTTTCTTTATTATGCAGTCAATAACTTGATCTCTTTTTCCAGGTTTAGAGGATTCATCCAACCGATTCTAATGGACATAGGATCAGAAATTGGTACAGTAGT